ATTGTCTTTTTTCCTTTTAACTTGCCTGCCCCAGTGGCTGACCAGCATCCAGCAGCATCTCACAGCAGGTGCTTCACTGAAGCTCATTTGCAGGAAGGGAGGTCAATTCAGACAGGGGCATTAAGGACCGCGTTGGAGCCAGCGGCTCCAGCTGGGTTGGGTGCACTCCACTGGCAGCAGCACCCAAACTCATGGAGAAGCCTTCAACCTGCTTTTCAGCAGAAAGGCCCATTCTGCTTTGCCTTTGTTGGGAACCAGCCAGGTCTAAGTCAGTTCTGATGTTTATAATGTAGACAGAAGTTATATTAAATGCCAGATGCTCTGCAGCTGCAAATTGCTCTATTTGAACTCAAATGTCAATTTACAGCTCCGTAGTGATATCACTGTCACGGTCCTACCTCCCCAGCAGCAGTGGGCATGACTGCCTCAGCACCCAGGCAGGCACAGCATGCTCCCCAGGACCTTAGCTTCACCTCCCTTCAGACCCCACTGGGGTCAGAGTCTGCATCATGCAGGCAGTCTCATGGACTTGCATTTTGCAGCTTTAGCACTCCATAGCTGTGAACATTTGGGTGTTCAAGAGGTTAAGATTAGGAGTACGTCTCTCATAGCATGGTCATACTGGAGAGACATGGCCTCAGGGATGATTTCTGAGATTGCAGACAGACACCATGTGTGTGAAGCCTACCCACGCTTGCCCATGCATCTCCATCCTTCAGTCCTAGTGTGTCCTGCTTCATAGCTCTAGGAGTAACTGGGTCTTCCTTGAGCTTGCCTGTTACAGCCCTTGATTGTGTGCAGCCTTTTTAAACCAAGGGGCCTTGGTGGCTTAAAGATTTCTTTCCTAATTCCCCTTGTTACCTGTTAAAATGCAGTCTTGACAGATGCCCTTTGCCAGAGATGCCTCAATCTTTTCCTTCAGGAGTTGGGTCTCAGGGTTGGTGCTGGCCAGTTTTCTCTCCACCCCAGAGGGAAGATCCCACCATGACCGTGGCTGCCAGAGGTTTATTTTTCACTTTTCCTTCTAGAGAGCTGCTTTCCATCTCTAGTTCATCTCCTTCCCTCAGCTGCCCAAGCCATGGAGATTTGGTGGAGCAGCAAGTACTCCTGTGAGGATAGTGGGAGGTGTTGAGCAGTGTGAACAGACTCTGGTATGTTTGGAAATAAGCAGAATAGGACTCATTTTTATCTACACAGGGGCCTTTAGGCCGTACCCACCTGCCCACACAGAGACATTTATGGTGTAGATCTGTCTCCTGGAGTCCTGCTTTTGTCCATTCCTCAACTCCAGTAACCTGCCTGCAGCATGTTGCCTGCCATCCTAAACACATGCTTTCCATGAAGATATCACCCAGAGGACGTCCCTTTCCATCTTCAACATGAAATCCATGGCATGAGGATGAAAGGGCAAGCAGCAGATGACAGTGAGGAAAGGGGCAAGGCTCAGTGAGCAAGGGCCAGCTGCAGTGGTGCTGCTTGGTGCCAACAGAACATGGGCAGTTGTTCAGGTGGTTGTTGACACTTGATGGAAGATGAGTTTGGGCAATGCCAGCAGTTGCCAGCAGTACACTTGCACTGCTGGGAAACCTGTGTGTTGGAAAGCAGCCTGCACTGAGCCCATTACTTTTGCTTTGGAGATCCGTCACCTGTATTTACTGTAACGGATGGAGAAACAGCAATGCATGACAGCAGGATGTATCCTACACTGCTGCCAACCTTAGGGAATTCCCTCTGACTCACTGGCCACTGAAAATGTTGCTGAACTGTTCAGTTTTGCCCCAGGTAATTTTTAACACAAGCAGTGCTTGCCCCTCCCAAGTGACCCCCCTGGCGTGCACTGAAGCCTGATGTGGAATGGGAGCCACCACCCCAGGTGAGGTCCTGGTTTACTAGGATGCAGCCCAGGTAAACCAGGATGTTAATTTTGAGCTGGGCACAATTTTACTCAGAGCTCTTCAAGGGAGCCCCATGAGGCAATTGACCGTGATTTGCAGCCCATAAGCAGTAATCGGGGGAGAACAGTGGGGAGCAGAAAGCCACTCTGGTTATGGTCAAACAGAGAGCTTGTGGGACAGTGAGATGTGACCATCTCCCACAGAGCAAGCCAATGACACAGGTGGCTCTTCCCAGCTCTAAACTGGTCCCAGTATGGATTTCAGTGGAGTTCCACAGGGCTTGTGCAGTGGTGGGTGAGGCATTTAGGCTTGTTGGGATTTCAGGAGGAGATTTCCTTGGGAACAGGAGCATGCCCCTTCCCTCCCTTAACCTCTCATGTTATTGCTGTCTGATGCGGCTATGAACATCAGGCCACTCAGCTCCTGGCTGGCTTCCAGCTCACAACCCAGAAGCAAGCAATACTTTGCAACCCTCAGAAACCTCCCAAAAGAATACAGAGAGGTAGCTGAGGAAATCCAGCCTGAAAATGTTGGTTCATCAGCACCTGAAGTGTCCTCAGTGCTACTGGAAATTATTACGAGAAATGGTTGCCTGTCTCTACAGAAGATGAGAGATACAGCAAAATTCTTCTTTGTTTTATCTTAAAGTTATTGCAATGAGTTGTTAGCAATTTTAACAGTGTTGATACGTTCTACATGTATAGGAGGAGTAATCTCAGATAAAGGTTTAAACTTCTTTTTCTTTTCCTTTCCTTTCTAAAGGGTCTGAAAGCAGCTGTGAAATGTGAATAGATTTTAACTATTAAGCCCAAGCTGCCAAGATGTTATTTCCTGTTGCTTTGACTCATGCAACTGAAGAAATAAATTGGATCAGAATATTGTTTTCTAACGTCGATTTTTGTCTCCCTCTGCCACCCCCAGGCTCAGCTCTATTTAAAGCCAAAATACCAAGGCATACTCTCCTGTGTGCTGATTTTCCTTGCTGGCGAGGCACTTGCACCACAGGAACTGCTTGCTTGGAGCAGGGTGAGTCTGCACCCACAGGAGCCTGACCTGGGCTCCCAGTGGTCACCCACTCGGCAGGGGAAGCAGCCTGTTGTCATCTGATGTGGGCTGGTGCCACTCATGTGCCCCGGGGTTGTATGATGAGGAGAACAGGGCTTTGACTGCAGAAGTTATCATCCTGGTCTGAGCGTCTGACTTTCAGTGAGACCTGTCCCCAGACCCATGACTGCTCCGTGGAGAAGTCTAGCAAAGGGGTTCACACTAAAATCAGCAAGTACAGTTCCATTAGCAATTCATTTCTGAGAGTGTGTTTGATCATATTTATGTCTGCATTCGTTGTGTATTTCACTTGGCTGCCAACAGCACCTGCTAGCGCAGAACACGCTGGGTAAATAACTGTTCTTCATATGAGGGGAGGCAGGTCATAAGATCAGTGTCCTGTTCTTGCTTCCTATGTCTCAGCACCTCCTTTTACAACATTTATGCCAAAGCGAGATACAGACAACTCAAAGAAGCCTCCAGATACATCTCATCGACTGCAGTGTCATTACTGGCAGCTGGAGGCTATGTGCACAGCTAAATTCTTTAGCTAAACAGCTAAAAAAGGTCCTGCACAACATCTATGCATCATTAATACTGCTGTCATGGTGGGATGTAATTGCTGCCTAGGCCTTTTGGTGGTTTTCTTCCCAAGGGTTCATTTCATTCTTGATGTATTATAAATGATTGTAATATAGTAACTTTTAAAAAAACTCTGAAAACAACAAAAGGTAAGTATGCTGGAGAAGCTTTTGCTAATATGCTGTCCTGCTCTCACAGATTTAAATCTGTAGAAAGCACTGACAGCCATCTTATGCGGCTACAAGATTGCTGTCTTGGAAGTCACCTTGAATAACAGTACTTCATTCAGATGTGCTAAGGGCAAAACCAGAGGGATACTGTTGTCTTAGTTTTATAGAGACATTTAAATTAGGCATTGTAGCGAGATTGTCAGTCATGTTGCCTCGCTGCTGAGGCTTTGGGACTGCAGGGCTGATAGGATCACTCTTAACTGATCTACAGCTGACACTGGAAAGGGGAAAAGGACTCTTTGACTTGTTGTGTAAGACTGCCAATGCAGAGTGCGGTGGATAGGAGGCTTTGGACATCCAGTTACTTCTTGGTGTTACCATCTGTTGCCCTGTTCTGGACCTGCAGTAATGTTGGTGGAAGTCCTCCTAACCAGACAACGAGACACTGGTTGCATAGCAATTGGGTTTGGAGGAGGAAAACAGTGAAGTCCCTGGGGAAGGACTGCTAGCCTGTAAGGGGGAGGATGAAGGAATATGCTTTTCCTTCCCACTGCTGGGTATGCAGTTACTACCAACTCCCTCTGTGTCCACTCCCTTGGCAAATGCCCACTGGGAGGTTGCATTAAATCAGTGTGGGATACATTTCTGTCAGAGGTTTGGTTGCTCAGTTTTTCATGCTATGCTATGTATCATTATGAGAGCTGCAGAAGAAAGGCAAGACTCCTCAACCGGGGTGCACAGGGGGAGCTCGCTGCAGGTACTGAGTGACTTCCACTCACTGAAGGTCAGGTACAGAAGTTTAGTTTCCAAATTCAATCCTTAAGCTGAAGGCAGAGGAGAGAGGACTGAAGGAAGCCATGATCACAGTCTTCAAAGCCAGAAGCAGTTGCTGCAGAGTGGGAGCGAGACACTCCTCATGCTTGTAGGGGCTCAGGGTAAAAGTCACAGGCTTCAAATAGAAGCATGGGAGACCTGGGTGAGGTATCTGGGTGAGTGGGCAATGGCCAGGGCAGCTGTGCACTGCCACAGACCAACTGTGAGGACCGAGGAGGTTGTAAGGCAGGCAGTTATGGGGGATGGACTCAGCCTAGCTAGCCTGGCTTGGAAACAGGAGGTAAATGGGCCACTCCAGTCCCATCCAGAGACCCTGCCTCTGCACCAGCCCTGAGGTAGCTTTCTTGCTGGGGAGGAGCACCAGAAAAGGGAGACAGAATCGTACCTTTGTCTGATTGCATGTCCCTTATTTTTGTCCTTTTCTAGCTAAAATAATAATTAAGGAAGAAAGAAGTGTGAAGGACAGAAAAACAAGATGTTGGTGCTGTCTAATGACACATACCTGAATTCACTTCTCTCCAAGCTGCTTCAAGACTACTTGGAGCAGACAAATAGCTCTGCACCTTCCCAGGCCGTAAGTGCCAGCAGCAACCTGGAAATCATCTATGTGCTGCTGATAATTGGCCTCTTTGGCTTCTTCACAGTGGGAGTCATGCTGACCAACATCCGTGCCAGGAGGCTGGAGAACTCCCGCGACCCCTACAACACCTACATTGCCACAGACATTTGGCACAAGAAGGACAGGGAGTATTTTCAAGCCAAGCTCATAGAAAATTACAAGCTGTGCTGTGTCTTTGAAAACCAGCTGGCCGTGGAGCAGCCAAGCATGCAGATTCCCGAGGCCAGATCTTCCTAGGAAAATGGGAGAAAGAACTGTACTTTCACAGGCACAACCTGACCGATACCTGGTACGAACCAGGCTCTCTGCTTGCACATGAGCCACAGACACTGGCCTCAGTCAGGTTGAATAACCATGGACTGATGGTGAAGCTGATGGATCTGTGATGGCCCTGGTGCTGCAAAAGTGCCCAGCCACCAGTACCTTGTTGCGACCAGTGTAAAGTTGAGGAGGGGGGACACACACAGAGAGAGTGTCACGGTCTCATCAGCTTCACCTCATGAAGAAACCAAATGCTGGGGTTGCCAGTGTGAGCGCTTGCAGTAGTCCGTGTAATTAAAACCAACTTGGATCAAATGCAAGCTAGAGGCCTTAACTGCCAAGTTAGGTTTAGGCAATAAGTTTCAAGTAAGACCAGTTTCTTCTGAGAAACAGTGGCTGAAATATTTAATTTGCGTTTTTGTCCAGCATAGGATAATGATTTCATAAATCGTAGAGTGCTGTGGATTACCTGTCTCTTGCAGAATTGTGCACCTCTTTGAGTGAAAATTAAAAAAAAAAATCTCTTTTTTTTTCTGAAAACCATTTCTGTGGAAAAATGCTGGCTTTGGAGGGAAACTTTTCAGTGACTGCCCCTAATTCCCACTAGGTACCCTAGACTGGTCTTGCCAGCTACTTTTGGTTTTCCTCCTCATGGATGGGTGTTGATCCTAGCAGCAATATCCACCCTTGCACTAAAATTCAGCAGCCCACAGGGTCTATGCCATGTAAGTGTGTAATGTTCTGAGAGTTTCAGTCACTTTCAATTATTGCACAAGCCCTTGGCTGCAAAGTGAATTTCCACTCTGTGAAAAGCAGTTTCACAAAGTGTTTGATTTTTAATCACTGCTGCAGCTTATGTCTGTGCTTGACTTAATGCCCATGAACAGCTCCTCCAGCTCCCAGGAGCAGCCTCCCTCAGTACAGCTGTTTATCTATTGCAGTGTCCAACAGGAGATCGTGCCAGCAAGGTTTTCTTGCCCTTGGCCTCCTTACTCCCTCCTTTGGCAGGCCATGTCTGCTAAGTCATGGGGGCACAGTGGCAGCTGAACTCATCTGCAGCAGCAGCTATCATCTGTCTCTGTTAAAAGGGAGAAATATGGCTCCTCTGGACATCGTGTTACTCGAAGTAACAACCTTGCCAACCTTATGCCTGTTTTTGCGTTTACGATCAAAGAAGCAATGGTCTGGGCAGAAGGGGGTTTTTATTTCTGCTCTGCAGATACACATCCCATTTTTAGCTACTGGAGAGGAAAGAGGAGTGGGAAAGGCTTGAAAGAAAGTCATGCAGAGCAGCCACTTCAAAGGCAAGGCGAGGGCACAGAGCTGCCAAAGTATTTGGATGGGCAAGCGATACCAGCCACAGCATATTCCTTTTCCATGCATAGGTACTTCTTTAGCACTGCAATGTCATTAAAGTGATATCCCAGCCATGACTGTGTTCCCAGAATACTTAGGACAATTAAAATTGCAGGTTTTGTTTTGTTTGTTTTTTAAAGATATTTATACGGTGCCTACCATCAAGCTGAGGACTAGATACATATTTTCAGTATCTTGAACAGCTTGGAAAATCTCCATCAGCTTAATTATCCGAGTCAGTTTTTCCTCTAAAGGAATATAAACCAAAGCCAAGCTTTGGAAAAACGTTGCCTTCTCATCTTGGGCAACTGCTCTTTTGGGATCTCACCATGCAGTCTGTTTATTACTTACATTTCCCTCTGCTAGTGAGAGTGAAAATGCTCTTGCTTCATGGCTCTCTACAGGCAGGCCCATGCAGCATTGCTGACAATGCTTAAACTTGCATCAAAAATGGCCTTTAATTACACTAAAACCTTTGAACATTAAGCTTGTCAAAAGGTCTCCCTCCTTCAGCTCCCCCTCTACCCCAGGTGTTTTCAGCTATTTTGGGTCTAGGCACTTGCTGGTCACCTTATTGTGTTAGCTCCAGTGAGGCTGTCTGGGGCAAGGGTGATGGGCAGCATTAGCTGGCTTCAATATTTTATTTGTTTTTCAGCTCTGCCATTCTATTTATTTTAAATTTATGCCTGACTCACAATGCTTTCCTGTGCCACCAGGCTACAAATCACCCTTCAGTGGCAGTTGTGAACTCCCACCGTGGGCCTTCACATTACCTTGTAGTTCTCTTTTTTCCCCTATTTTCTTCACTTATACAAAGCAATAAAATATGAATTGCAGAATAAGCTTGTGGCCTCAGAGGTTTTTCTTCTCCTAACCTGTTTCACAAGCTCACAGAAAAAGCACCGACACTGCCTGACAGGCACCCATTCATCTGTCCCCTTTCTACACCCTATTAACCAGACCTGGGCCTCGGTGCTGGGGTATTCGTTGGTACACCTAGATCTGGAGAAATATCAAAATGCCAAGAACAGATTCCTCACCCCAAGTAAACTCCCAGGGACTGCAATATCCTGGGCAAGCTTGTCTCTGGTGTTCAGTGCAGTGATCCCAGCTGCAGTCTTTGGGCACAGTTTTCCACTGTGCCCAGGCAAGCCTGGTTTTTGTTGCACCCCCTCCCAGAAATGAGCCTGGCAAAGAGAGAAATAGCTGTGGGGTAGTGTTCCCCCCAGCAGGGGAGGAAGGTCTCCTGCTCATCTGGTGCCCAGTGGCTCTGCACAAGGCATCAGTTGGGTAGCTAGCCCTCATGGAATGGTTTGTTGGTGCAGATTGTTTTTAAGGCAATCTGATTGTTTTTAAGATCACTCTGATCACAGGAGAGGCAGGAGTACATGTCAGGAGATCTTAATCATTCAGGTCAGCCAGGTCTTTCTTCATGTACTCCTTGAAAAAGGCTCTGAAATCCCTTTCTGTATAGCTCTGGATTATGTAAAAACAGTTTTGGAGATATATACTGTGAGCCAAGCTGCAGCGTGCATTGCCAAGTATCCTACAGGGCTTGTAAACCCAGCTCCCACTTCCTCTCTCATTACCACTGACTCAGGCAGGACAGTTGACATGGGACCCATCTCTGACTTCAGGTAATAGGAGGAAGAGCATTAATTGGCCAGGGAGTGCCTAGAAATGTGTGATTTGCTCATCATCTTTGCCATAGACCAAAAGCCAGCAACAAACCTGTCATATAATTACTGTCACACAGAGCTCACATTTCCTGCTCGTTGGGGAGATTGAAGAATCTCAAACTCATTAGGCAAGTGTTGCACTTTGACCAGACTTTAAAAGCCTTTGCTCAGGAGGCATAAAATAGCCAGGGAGACTGTCAGAGGTTTATTTTTCTCCAGGCCCCAATAGCTAAAGTCCCTGGCTTTAGCTGAATCAGCTATGGCTTATTCTAGTCAATAGCCTTGCTGCCTGTTGGCCTAAAGAGCATATCTCCAGGTATTGCTCTCTGGATACCTATGGTTTTTTATAATAGAAATTGTATTACATAGAAATACCAGCATTATACAGAAATGGCACTTTGAATTTAAGCGCTACGTTGTTAACAGCAATGTGATGGTAAAACAAAAAGGTCTCAAGCAAAATCAAAGCCCAATACATCAGGTTCTCTCCTGTATATATTTTGAGAAGTTCTGCTTTGTGCAGTTGCAGACCAACATGGAAGTTGTGTGGCACAAAGCCACGTGAATAAAATACTGATCAATGTATGTGGTACAGCACAAATGTGGGCAAGATGCTGTGTTGTACCTCTTGGAGGGGAAAGTCAGTCCTCATGCCTTGGTGGAAGAAGCTCCGGGGCAGTTTTTCACTGGGTTATGTAGCTACTGACTCACAGGAGGATGAGAGCTCCCTCTTCTCCCCTTTCCTGCCTCCCCTGGAAACCTGTCTGGGCTGCCCAGACTCTGGGCAACACAGTGACTGTTGCGTCCCCCAAACATATGTCCTCAGGCCATGCCTGCAAAGCTGTTGCAGGAACATCAGTGCAGCATGCAGCAGGGTACAGCTATCCTTCTTTGACAGCACGCAGTCATTTGCCAAAGTGGGAGTATGTTTACCAGAGGATACATCTGCATGGGCTCATACAGAGAGCATATGGGTGGCCTAAGCTTAGCTTTAAGACGGCCAGATGCCAGCTCTAGCTGTAAGGAAGCATGGGTGCAGTGCTGAGATGGAGGCCAATATGCCCTAAGCAATGATTAGAAGTGGTTTACATCCAGGCAGCACAGAGCTCAGGAAAGCAAGTCTGTGCTGATCTGTAGCAGCTCTGTAGCCTGATGTGCACAACCTTCCCGTAGGAAGCCCAAACTGAGAGCTTATCCTTTGCCTTCACTGTAAAATCTTCCCTTCCCTGTTGCCAACCTGGAGAACTTCAGACCCTGGTTCTTATTTCCTGTCTCGTGGAGAACTTGCATCTGCAGCAGCTGGCTTTTCACTATACCCAGCAAAAATCCTTATAGGTGCAGATACAAGTGTTTAAAAACTGCGTAGATACGGCCCTCAGTGATATGCTTTAGTGGTGGTCTTGGCAGTCCTGGAGTAATGGTTGGACTTGATGATTTTAAAGGTCTTTTCCAAACTAGTTGATTCTATGATTCTATGAAACCTCTAGAATTAAGTAGTCCGTCTGGAAAATACTTTAGTGAAAGGCAGCCCGAGTGTGCAATGAGTGTGAAGTGAGTATCCCCCCTCCTCACTTTACAGTTATCAGTGTTATCTTTATTTGCAGTTGGCTGGGTCAGACCTGCTACACCGGGAAACGTGCACAAAGACAAGCAGAAGGAAACAGATAAAAATAGAAGATATGATCAATCAGAAGCAAGCAGAACATTCTTTACAGCCAAGAACTGGAATTATCTTATACAATATTTCTATGGCATCCTGTTTCATTTTTGCACGTTGTTATCATTATGCCAAATTCACTCCCTAATCTCCTCATCCAGCTGCAGCCATCAGCTATGCGTGTGAAACCTCCACAAAGCCTTTCTCAAGACATTGCTCAAGGGACCAGCACAAATGTGATTGCTGGGCAGAGGAGGCTGTGAAAGGTCACCCTGCATTTCACA